CAGCCGCCGCCGTTCGTGGTCGTATTACGAAGTCGCGCCTCTGCTGCCTGTGGTGTATTCAATGACACTTCGTAAACGAGGCTTCTTTTTTGTGGAGAGTTGCAAAATATATGACGAGCAGTCTTGTCATTTCGACCAGAATGTTTGAGTTAAAATACTATAAGATCACACACGTATATTTTGTGTTCTGATAAGCGTGGAAACAATATTTTGTTGGTCAGTCAGAGCTACGAGGAATGCAGAGTGATAGCTGTCTGTGACTGAATGCCGTTTCACCATTGCTCCCTCCCGCCATTTTGTGTTGCATTGTTACAATAAAAAGAACATCTGTAATCCACCTGAGTGTCAGTCATGTATGAAAGCGACAGCGAGACACACACACACACACACACACACACACACACACACACACACACATGAGGTACCGCCGCTCATTCCTGCCGACTCCCGTCAGGCTATTGAATAGACGGTCCTGAAAACCTGGACTCACCCACACACACCCATTTTAATATGCTTGTATCTATATTTTATCATTTATATTTATTGATGTACTTTTTGTTCTTCTACTAATATTTGGCAGAAAAAAATGCACAAAACCGATTAATCAGCCTTTTAATTTGAAAAATATTTCTTGAATCAAGGTGTTCCGGGCGTGGACAAATCAAGGGTTTCTTATTTTATCTTGCAGAAGTGACACAATGGTTGAGGCGGGCGCATCATTGGAAATGTCGTTCCCTGATGGTCAAAGTCAGACGCATATAAAAAATGGCTCCTCCTCGGATATGGGCTCGTAAAAGACTCCGCTTAGAAGCCTCCAACGCAGAGGGGCTGGCATTTCTGCAAGTCTTACCTCTCTGCAGGGTTCAACAGTGGCCATTTGTGTCCATCCCCATATTTTAATGCAGTGTTCTTATTTTCTGAAAGAGGCGTTTTAATGGCTTACTTTCCTATGGAAGAGGAACTACCAAGAATCGCATTTTTATTTTAAGAAGTGAAAGCTACCTCTGCAAAAAAAAAAAAACTATACTACTGGTGCCTGGCGATGCAATTGTCCAAAATAACAGTTTCTTTGTTTGGTTGTTTTTTTTTTTTCATACAAGCTGTCATTGGAATAATTTTTTGCTGGCACTTGCCAGCAAAAAAATGTAGGTGCAAGTGCTGTATGGTAATCGTAAACTTATTTCAAAACAAACAGCAGTTCAGCTGATTTTTTTTTTTTTTGCGAACTTTCCAGGGAGCACTAGAGTGTGATTTTTGCATTGTGGTGTGGGGGACCCTTAAATGACATGAACTTTCACCAGTATCGCATTTATTAGTATGCCAAAGGCGTTTCAATGCATTTTTTTATAGGGCACCTTCACAACCTAATGATATGCAACACGTACTTTGCACATCATTAGGTTATGCAGGTGTTCCTTGATGTGCGTCATTTGTTGTCCTTTGCTCTTATCGACACCGTTAGCAAGGGTACAAGGTCCAAATCTCTGCACGCTTCTGTTCAGGATGGAGCCGTCCCAGGAAGGACGCTGCTTGGCTCAGACCACGCTGGAAAATCTCACCTGGCTGTGATCATTGAATTAGTCCAGCACAAATCTGTTCTGATGTCTGCAATATATTTAGCACATTTTGAAAAAAATATATAAATGACTATAGCAATACTTAGATTTCTGAGTTCAATTTGTTTCATGACAAAATTCGTAAGTCAGTGTACCTCGATTACAAATCAATATTACCCATTGAAGTGCCATGAAGAGCCTTCTCCCCCCCCAAAAAGTCCTTTTTAGTATGGCCAGACCAATACAGATTTTTTTTTTTTTTTTGTGAGCCTGATTTCCGTTCCAATATTTGGCAGAAAAAAATGCACAAAACCGATTAATCAGCCTTTTAATTTGAAAAATATTTCTTGAATCAAGGTGTTCCGGGCGTGGCCCACCGGCAGGAGACCCCGGAGACGACCGAGAACATGCCGAAGAGACTTTGTCTCCCGACTAGGCTGGGAACCCCTTGGGACGGACGGACGGATGGATGAATGAAGTCACTTTTTGTTTGGTTTTCTTTTTGGTTCCGTAACACTGCGATGAAGACATGAATGGAGGCAGAACATTTGGCCGATGGTATTTGTGAACCACGGAGAGAAAAATCTGCCAAAATCGGCAGAATTTTTGGCGGATTTTTTTATTTCGGGGCGCGGGGTTGGATGTTATCATCTTTGTGTTGTTTTCTAGTACATTAATGCATACAACAAATGGAAATATGGGCAGTTTAAATCGTCTTGAGTTTTTTTTTTTTTTTTTAAATGAAGAAAATTAGCTTCGTATTGTACAAAAAAACGTCATAAAAGGGGAAATGAAGAAGAAACTCATTTTCGGAATTGTAATTGGGATAAACCGGGTCGCAGACACAGGACGGACGGCAAAATCGGGTCAAGTGTCCATCTCTGAGAATAAACTTTTACAACCAATGTGACGCTTTTCTGGGGTAACACGGTCACAAGTCAGCGCAAGACTGCAGGGGTGTTCCCGCCTTGAGTGTGCAAGAAACCGACCCCCCCCCCCCCTAATGAACATTGGTCTCTGATTGGTTGTTTAACCTTGGGCGTGGTCGTTTCTTACATTTTAAATTCGAGGTAAAAGATGGGGCCTGAGACGGCTGATTTATTTTGTATCATTTTTTTCACGTTCAGTATTCCTGTCAAGTCATGATGACAAATGTGATCGAAAGGCCTTTTTTTGGAGGACTACAAAGTGTCCCTGGGGGGGACGGACCCCAACAACAATAAAAAACACTTTCTCTTTTCTCTGGAAATGTGATGAAGGACTTACGACTCATTCCGTTTTTAATGGCACACGGTCTCTTCATCCGTTTTTAAAAGATCTGTCGTGATGTCCAATTTTGTGGATATTCTTGCCTCCGGCCAAAATTGAACACGTGGTGGAAAGTGACCAGCGTGTAAGGGTTCAAAGAAGGGGAACTGCCACGGTTTCCACGTGGGTTGATGTGTACCTCGAGCCTCTATTTCCATCAAGTACATAATGC